TCCTCCTCCACTTCTTCCTCCTCCTTTCCCAGATGGCCTTCAGAGATCTGCCTGTCACAAACCAAATCTGTCATTCTGAATACTTTTCTCCCACCCTTCTGCATGGTAGAAACACGTGGCCTTTTATTTATGCCGTGCTCACCTGTTCTGGGCACATGAGTGAAATGCATTCGAGCTGCAGACCTTGGAAAAGACATCCTATATGGTTGGAAGAAGAATTATCTGATTTGTTATAAAATTTTTTGCCAACTTCCATGGGACTCTTTGCCACATGTTAGCTCATTCCTCTCCAATAGCTTCTGAGGCAGATGGAAATTTTTCTTCCCACCTGATGGATGAACAAGCTGAGGCCAGGTGATGCTTGATGACATTTAGGTCCAGCACTAGATTGGGCTGTGAACCATCAGAACTGGCTTTCTGGAAACAGACAAGGTCATTACTCTAAAACAAGGCTAAACAAGTTAGATATCCAAACGGCTACTGTCTTCAGGACTCATATTTATTATGGGAAGCTCTAAACTTGAACCAATTCAAACTGGATGCCAGTCAGGATGTTTTCTGATCTCTGCTTTTGAAAATATTGTCCAGCCATTTAGAAAACCTCTAAATGAGGGATCAGCAAACATTTTCTGTAAAGGGCCAGGCAGTAAATATTTTCAGCTTTGCAGTCAGGATGTCTGTCACAACTATTGAACTCAGCCATTGTAGCATGAAAGCAGCCAATACATAAAAGAATGGCTATCGCTGTGTTCCAATAAAACTTTATTTATACAAACAGAGGAAGGGCCATAGTTTGCCAACTCTTGCTCTACACCAGTACTGTCCAGTTTAAATATAGAGTAAGCCACATGTAATTTAAAATTTTCTAATAGCTACATTTTTAAAAGTATAGAGAAACAGATGAATTTAATTTTAACAATATATTTTAACCCAATATGTCCAAAATATTATCATTTTCAACATAAAATCATTGTAAAATTTATTGAGATATTATGTAATCCTTTTTACATTCCAAGACTTATAAATTCCATATGTTATACTTACAGCTCATCTGAATTTGAACTAGTCACATTTCAAGTGCTCAGTGGCCACATGTGCTAGTGGCTACTGTATGGACAGCACAGCTCTAGTAGGGAGACCTATAAGAAGGCAGTCACATATAAACAATACACCATTATAAAGTGATAAGAGCCATGAATGAAAAATAGAGGGTGCTGTAGGCAGAGACAGGGAAACATTAAAGAAATCTTCTAGCACTTTCCCCCACTTCCACCCAGGGTTCCTTTTTAGAAGTCCATGGAACATTCTAATGCCTTTCCCCAAACCCCAGCCACCACACATGCTCGGAGTGACGACTATAAAATGAAGCATTCAGACTTTCCACTGACTACTCTGATAATTCTCCATGCAGGGATCAGGAGATGAATTTCTCATGGCTTTTCTTGGGCTCTAGGTGGGCAGCACAGCAGCCCCTGACCTGGTACAGCCATAGATAACAGCATCCATGGGGGGAGGGGGGTCCAAGTGACTGTCCCTATTGGCTGGGAGGGTTTTTTCTATCCAGGAGAAAGGGGCCAGTGTCTGGATTCAGAACAGTAATTTGAACCTCCAGACCTGTGTGACTCTTGCTCTACCATTTACTAACTGCGTAATCTTAGGCAGGTTACTTAACCTCCTTGAGCCTTGGTTTTCTCTTCTGTACAATGGAGATAATGACAGCAGCTACCTTCAGTGATTGGTATGTCTATGGAGAGAGATGATCATGAATAGTAAGAGCATATGGCACATATGAATATTACATTTATTGTTATTATTGGCCCATCAGGAATGCCCCCCCAAAAAAATCTGAATTATTTGCCCCCTCACATTATTCTAGGAGCCCCAGTGTTTGCATCACCTCCTCCCATGTTGTGGTTCCTCTTGGGCGTAGCTGTGTCTCCCACTTAGTTGTGATTCCCCAAAGCAGAAACTGTGTCTTGTCCATCTCAGCAAGAATAAAAATCTTCCCACACTTGGTGATTTCCCCTTTGCCTGGATCCTAGGACATTCTTTCTGTCCACCATCTTCCCCTTCTTGAAGAGACAGTTCCTGATGTTCCACCCACCAAACTGGGTCAGCCTCCCCCACTTGCACACACTCAAGGCCTGTTTGAAGCATTTAGCTCTTATAATTAATTATCTGGGGAATCTGCTATAATGTCAGTCTCCCCAGTTGGAGGTCAATATGGGTGGGGCTTGAGTCAGCCTCTTTCATCAGAGTTCTCAGCCCATAGTGCTTGGCACAGAGCAAGTGCTCAAGAAATGTTTGTTGAATGAATGAGAGTACTCTCATTCACTCTGGAAGGCAAAAGATCAGAGACTGTTCTCACAATAACAAGAGAGCTTAAGGAGTTTTTGTAACTGACTTTTTAAAAATCACTTGCTCAATATCCACCATACATTTCTCTCTACCCCTCTTAAATAATGAATTCAATGTGGATCTTGTAAATCCTTCAAGCTGCACTGTCCAATAGAAATGCAGTGAGATCCATGAATATATTTTTATATTTTGCATTTCCTACATTTTTAGGAAGTAAAAGAAAACAGGTAACCCTAGCCAGTTTGGCTCAGTGGATAGAGCGTCGGCCTGCGAACTGAAAGGTCCCAGGTTTGATTCCGGTCAAGGGCACATGCCTGGGTTGTGGGCTCGATCCCCAGTGGGGGACTTGCAGGAGGCAGCCGATCCATGATTCTCTCTCATCATGGATATTTCTATCTCTCTCTCCCTCTTCCTTCCTCTCTGAAATCAATAAAAATATATTTAAAAAAAGAAAAAGAAAACAGGTAACATGAATAATAATAAATAGGTTTTACTTAACCTATGATATCCAGAATGTTATCATTTCAACATGTAATCAGTATAAAAAATGCCAATAAACTGTAGTAAAGTCTGTTTTTTCATAGTAAGTCTTTAAAATCCAGTGTGTATTCTGTACTCACAGCACATCTCCATTTGGACTCATCACGTTTCAAGTGCTCAGTAGCCACATGAGACTTATGGCTGCCATTTTGGAAGCCTTAGAGCCGTGGTCGGCAAACCGCGGCTCACGAGCCACATGCGGCTCTTGGCCCCTTGAGCGTGGCTCTTCCACAAAATATCACGTGCGGGCGCGCACGTACAGTGCAATTGAAACTTCGTGGCCCATGCACAGAAGTCAGTATTTTCTGGAAGAGCCGATATTTTGTGGAAGAGCCACACTCAAGGGGCCAAAGAGCTACATGTGGCTCGCAAGGCGCGGTTTGCCGAGCCACAGTTTACCGACCACTGCCTTAGAGGAGTCACTATGGCTTTCTAATTCTTCTTCCCAAAGTGCACTGCTCAGGTGCTCTCCATAGGAGACCAGAGATGAACACAACTGAGGCTTACCACCTAGCACTGGGCAGAGCCTGTCCCCATAATAGGCAAGAAGGAAGGGGTTGCTCATACCAAGAGGTGACATATCTATGGGGCTTAATGCATGCCAGGAGTCTTGCACAGGACTTTACCTGTGTTAAATCATTAGATCCTCTTGCAACCATTTAAGGAAAGTTATCATATTATTATCTCCATTTTACACCTGGGGAAGTAGAGGTACAGGGATTTAAGTGTCCTGCCTGTCAAAGGCTACACATATAGTAAGTGATAGAACTTATTGGGTTTGAACCCAGGTGGCCTGTCTCCAGGGCCTGTGCCTCAGTTGGCCACTGTGTGAATGGACTGTCTCAGAATTGGCCCCAGTCATTTCTCCAGAATGGTGTCAGACAGGACCCAAGTGGGTACAACCCACTTGGATTTGTTCTTTCAACAAATTGTGTTGAGCACCCTCTGTGCACCAGACAGTGTGCTCCCAGAGGGAAGGAATCCAATAACAAACACCCTCTTAGTTGGGATTCACTGGGATTCATAAGAAAAGCCCAACTCTGAAAGAGGGTGATTGAGAAGTAGATGCTCTGATAGATTCATCGTTTAGGACAGCGGTCGCCAACCGGTGGTCTGCGGACCACTGGTGGTCGGTGAGATCCGAAAGGTTGGCGACCGCTGGTTTAGGAAGTTGGCACCAGACAGAGAGGTATATTGATGCCAGGGAGAATAAAGCTGTTCCAGTCCAAAGGGAGATACCCGCCCCAGGATGTCCTTGAGGAGGGTAGGGATGGTAGCACATGGGTACCAGGAGCTCATATGCAGAGGAGGCCAGGATTAAGCCAAAGGGACTGACCATCAAGAGCCACCATCAAAACAGCTTGAGGCCAGAGCTCGGAATTCAGAGCCCAGAGCAGATGGATGTGGAGCTGAGCCCCAGCTATGTCTCTCTTAAATGTATCTCATAGAGTCAAACTGGCAGAACAAGAAAAGCCTATGAGCAAGAAAATGAGCTCGTGAATGTAGGTCACCACTGAGTTAGTCACCCATGTATATCAGTCAAGAAGCGTTTATTGAGTGCCTTTGGTATACCAGGAACTATTTCATATAACCCTGTCACCCTTGACATTTGTTGAAGCTATTTGCTATCTTACTAGAGATTTCATGATTTCTCTTTAATTTTCAGTGGCAAGAAATATTCCCCAAGTGTACCTCCCTTTTCCTCAAAACATGGGTCATGTTTGAACATCCAGTGTGGCCTTTTAATAATAAGAATAATAATAGTAACTGTAAATAACCTACTATGTGCCCTGTGCTAATAGCTGCTTATATGCAGCTTCATTTAATCCTCACAACAGGCCGAGGAAGTAGATTCTATTACTTACTCCCATTTTACAGATGAGGAAACTGAGGGTCAGAGAGGGCCAGTGACTTGCCCAAGGTTACACAGCCAGAATGCAGTAGAGCTGGGATGTGAACCTGAATTTTCTAACTCCATACTTTAAACCTTCATTTTCCCTCTCCCACCTCCCATCCCATGTTTGCACAGGTTGAAAATGATCAAATTTGCTTGTAGGCTCATATACCATGGTTACACATGACTTTTTCTTTTGTTTCCAAAGGTGGTGGCCCTTAGTAAAAGAAGTCAGGAAGCTGAGGCTGCTTTCTTGAGTGTTTACAAGCAATTAATTGAAACACCAGGTAAGAAATGCTTGGGCTCCATAATTAAAGAATTAATTAGAAGAAACAGCCATTACACAGGGGCTTCCTCATGGTGGGCTCTGGGGATAGGCTGAGACTCCTGGGCAAGTTCATGCCTTCCATGGGTGGGGATTGTGGGGGGTGATAGGTTCTGTGCCCAGTCTGGTGTGACATCCCCACATGGATCCTCCATCTTCCCCCACTACCTTCTAATGTCAGCCAGAGAGCTTTGGGGGGCTCCTGGCATGGTCTCCCACCTGGACTTTCTTGGGAATCCAAGAAGCCTGTCTTGCCCCCCCAGAGGACAAATGGCACCAAGTGCTTTCTGCCAGCAGAGTGTGCTGAAAGAAAGACCTCAAAAGTTTCCTTCAACATGGTGCAGCCAAACTCAAAAATTTGATGACAGCAAAAGCCAAACCCAAAAAAACATGTACTATATTGCTCTATTTACATAAAACCTGAAGACAGACAAAAATTAACCTGTCAGCACTATTCACAGTGACCAAAAGGGGGAAACAACCCAAATGTCCATCGATGGATGAATGGATAAACAAATAAGCTCTGTCCATTCAATGGACTATGATTCAGTAATTCTATATACTAAAGAGCTAATATGCAAATGGTCATCACACCCTCGAGCCCTTGCACCGGGGCCAGGGGGACCTGAGGCCGGACCGGGGGACCCGAGGCTGTGCCCCTGCGCTGCGGGGCTTGACGGGGCTGGCGCCGGCCGGGGCTGGATCTTGCACGATTTCAAGGCGCACGTGGGAGGGCGGGGACTTGACTCTGGGCCCCGTGGTGTGCTCCAGACTCTGACAGGAGGGAGATTTTCATATACATTTTACTAATTTTCTTTCATTTCTGACACTTCTATTATAGAGAAGGGCAAATACCAATATTAAAATATTTCCTCTAATTAATTCCCTTTTAATGTGCACGAATTTCATGCCCCGGGCCACTAGTAAAAAGAATAACACTGACACATGCTACAATGTGGATGAGCCTCAAAAACATAATCCTGGGTGAAATAAGCCAATCATAAAAGGCCACATAATAAAGGATTCCATTTATATGAAGTGTCCAAAATAGGCAAATCTATAGAGACAGAAATCAGATTGATGATTACCAGGCAGGCAGGGAGGAGGGAATGGGGAGTGAGTGCTTAATGGGTACCAGGTTTCCTTTTAAGAGTATAAAAATGTTTTGGGACTAGATAAAGGTGGTGGTTATACTAATGCTGCTGAATTGTATACTTTTAAATGGTTACTTTTTTTTAAATATATTTTATTGATTTTTTACAGAGAGGAAGGGAGAGGGATAGAGAGCTAGAAACATCGATGAGAGAGAAACATCAATCAGCTGCTTCCTGAGCACCCTCCACTGGGGATGTGCCCACAACCAAGGCACATGCCCTTGACCAGAATCGAACCCGGGACCCTTCAGTCCACAGGCCGACGCTCCATCCACCGAGCCAAACTGGTTAGGGCTAAATGGTTACTTTTATGTTATAAGAATTTCACCTCAATTTAAAAAACATTAACCTGTGTTGTTAGACATCGAGTGGCAACAGTTCCTGGGAGGGGCCTCCGGGGGCTGGAGATGCTGTTTCTTGATATACTTCTATAAAAAGTTGGACTTATTAAAAATGGCCCATCCTTTGCCACCATCTCATTTATTGACTCAGAAAAGAGAGCCTAGGAAGGTGTAGTGATTTGTTAACAGTGGTGGAGCTGTGAGGAGACCCCACTATGCTAACTCCCTCTACTCAGACAGCCCCTGACCTTTCCCACGTCCTTCCATGAGCTGCAGGAATCAGTGCTGTGGGTATTGATTGGGGTTTGATTGAAGAGGAAAGTGCGATCCCACTGTAAGCCAAGCCACAGAGAAGGCAGAGTCATTAACATTTGAAATAAAAATTGTTTGTGGGATCTTTGAATTTAGGATGGGAGCGTTCCTCATTTCACCTGTCTTGGGCAACTTTAGAAAATATCCTCCCAAAATTCATGGCCACCCTGAACCTCAGAATGTCACCTTATTTGGAAACAGGGTCTTTGCAGGTATAGTTAGTGAAGGACTTCTAGACGAGATCATCCTGGAATTAGGGTGGGTTTGTGGCCACATCACTCCAGTCTCTGCCTCTGTCTTCACATGGGCTTCTTCTCTCTTTGTCTCGTGTCCCAGATCTCCCTCTCCTTTCTCTAATAAGGATTTGGGGTCATTGGATTTAGGGCCCACCCAGATAATCCAAGACCATCTCATCTCAAGATCTTTAACTTCATTACATTTGCAAAGACCCTTTTTCCAAATAAGGTCACATTCACAGGTTCCAGGGATTAGGACATGGACATATGCTTGGGGGTCGCCATTCAGCCCCCTACAGAGGCATCTGCAGCCTTGACCCCCTCTGCCCCAGTCCTATGCTCTGCCCTGATTCTACTCTCAGGAAGGCAGCATGGCCATGTGGGCTTTCTCAGTGAGAATGCTTTGGTGGTGAGAATGGCTGGAGCTAAACAGCACAGCCCCCCCAGGGCTCTGTGCCCTGCCCCACTCTCACCCCCAGATGGCATAGCCCTGTAGTGTGAGACTGAAATAGCCATGTGTCTGCAGCCCCTGAAGACCACACCAGACATATCCAAGAAGCCCTTTGCAGCTTTTTTTTTTTACCTTTCAACTATTTAATACTTAACTACACAAGCGTTACCAACAGGTATCATTCTCACTTGATAAATGAAAAGTTCAAGTCAGGATCGGTCAAAAGGCTTCTTTCTTCCTCATGGAAGTTTGCAGAGGACCCCAGGCCTTGATACCCTAACTCCTAGAACCTGTAAGGGAGGTTTTCGAAGTACAGGTAGGGAAGTAGAGATGCCAAAGGACCTACACTCAGACCAGAAGACAAAGGTACTTGGACATTTTAATGAACTTCCCTCCATGTAGCTTCAAGCTACCAGGACACAGGCCCCACCAACACCCTGAATCTTCTCCTCGGCTCTTCTGCTGAAGAACTTGGCCTTCACAATGACAGGCTGCCTTGGGAGCTTTCCCTTCCCCAGAACTCTGTAGTAGCCCGATCGCACCACATCAATGATGGGAGCAACTTCAGTCTTGCTTTTGGCAGCATTCACCCGTGTCTGCTCACTGACCAGGGTCCACAGTTTATCAAGGTTGACAGTTAGGCAGAAGCTCTGGTTCCTCTTCAAGTGGTAATGCCTCATACCAACTTTCCCAAAGTAGCCTGGGTGATATTTGTCGAAGTTGATCCTGTGATGATGCAGGCCACCAGCATTCCCGCGGCCCCCCGGGTGCTTCCTGTGCTTGCCGATGCGGCCGTGGCCGTGGCTCACGTGGCCCTGAAGTTTCCGGTCTTCCTCAGTCTGGATGGCATGTCGGTGGCCGAGTTGCAAGAGGGAGCCCTTTGCAGCTTTTTGCCGAGTTGCAAGAGGGAGCCCTTTGCAGCTTTTTGTTTATAAGGTCGAAAAATATACCCTCCTATTTCACACTCTTTTCAATTTTTCAAGACCCACAGTCTCAATAACAAATTTTTCAAGACCCACAGTCTCAATAACAAATGACATTGGGAGGGGTGACTCAGTACAGAACCCAATGTTGCCTCGTAGGAGTCCTCACACCAGGCTCCTTCACTGGGCCCCATAGTACTCATCTATTGCATCAGGGGCAGCACTGATACAGGCTTGTGTTTCCCAGGCCTTAGGGCCAGATCCAGGTTTGGAGTCCTGCCTGTACCGCTTACTCACGGGGCGACTGCGGATGAATTAATTCACCTCCCTGAGCTTCAGTCTCCTCTTCTATAGTTTGGGAGTAATATGAGGACCTACCTCATACAGCTGTGGGAGGCTTCGGCAAGCATGGCACATCGTGGTACTTTGCTAAGTGACACCTACTATCATGTATCTGGCTTCCCTTAGAGAAGTAAAATTCTCCAAGCCTGCGACTGAGTCATACTAATTTTATAACCCAGAACACCGTACACAGTAGGCACCTAATAACTGTTCGGTGAATGAATTAGAAATACGACTCAGATGCAGAAAGGGGAGGAAGGGTTATTTGTATAAAAAAGCCCTCTGCTTGTCATGTGTTTATTTACTCAGATATCATTTATTGAGTGCCTGCCTTGTGCCTGGCACTTGCAAGACACTGAGAACATGACCATGAGCTCACTGATGCAGACGCGAGCCCAGCCCTCAGGGAGCTTGCATTCTGGTGGCAGAGGTGACCAGATCATTGCTCGAATAACCAGCCTGCTGTCACAAACCCAGGGGAACGCCAACGACTCTAGTGCTTGGGAATGAGAAGGCGCTTACAGCCCCCACTTGAAAAGGAGGTCTCATTTCTGGGGTTCATTATGGGACCCTCATCTCCCTGGAGATACGGCTGTTATCACAATCACAAGGCCAGGATTGCAGTGCCAGCTGGGGGGCCTTGAGAGCCCCCAAGACAGGCAGGAACTTTCCAGAAGGTCCTTGTGTCCTCTCGCCCTCTCCCCAAAGGGTTGTTCCCAGCCTGGTGCTGACTCCACGCGTCTGATTTCCCAGCTCCCTCCCCGGAAATGGAGGGGCAGGGGAAACGTATGTCCCCAGCTGTCACCAAGTTAGAGAATGAGGAGCCCTAAATGATGGAGACGTACCATACGAACAGCCCCTTTAGGGGCTCTAATTCATTCTGAGACATTTAAGAATAACAAAATGTTTTAATGATTTCTTGGGGGAATTAGGAAGACATATTTTGTTCTCATTAAATTTTATCCGCAGACACAAGAACCAAATGTCAGATGTGTTTTTGGTGCTCAGAGCTACCCTGCTCGCTGTCTTCCCCACACACACGGCCCCAACCCCCTCCATAAAAATAACACTCCAGGAAAATTTGCCAGGATATGCACTCTCCTGTTTTTATATTTCTTGACAGGCAAATTATTTGTGGAAATACCCCCCCCGCCCCCCCGCGAAGCCACACAAGTCCTGATTCAACATTTTTGTTTTGAATGA